GGCTTGGGCGCCCGCGTGGGCGTTGCGCCTGTGTTCAAGCTCTATGATATGACGGGTTAGGGCATGATCTCGCGGCAATAAGATAGGATGGCATGCATCAAAGCTCAAGTCGGAGTTGACCAATCTTCCTCCTACCCGAATTAATCCGTCTTCGCTAATGAACGGAGCTAATGATAATATGCTACTTGATGTATCAAGGGCATGACCTTTGCGTAAGGCCTTGTATTCCTGAGGAAAAGCTTGATTCTGGGTTAACTTACACATGATTTGTAACGCGGTTGAAATTTCTTGATGAGATACGAATGTGGTATATTCCTTCGGACGGTAGCGCTTAAGAAATCTTAGGCAATACGCGAGAATGCGACATGCTTTATTGAGGTTTGAATGTCTGGTTAACAATTCATTTATAACTGAGTGATCGACAATCAAGATGGCTGTCACGGACCTTTTTTGTTCGGGAAGGCCCTCAATCGAATGAACGAACCCAGAATCGGGCCAATGTTCTTCATCTAATCTCAGGAAGGGAGGTCCATGCCACCACATGGAAGATTCTACTAACTTCTGTGGATCGAGGCCGCGCGACAGAATGTCAGCAGGATTGTCGATGGATTTGACGTGACGCCAGTCACTAGGTTCAGTCAAGTTTTGAATTTGACCGACTCTATTGGAGACAAAAACTGACCATCTTCTCGATGGCGATGCTATCCAATTCAGGACTATGGTGGAATCTGACCACAGGAAGATCTGTGAGTCAGTTATCGTGATTGATGCCCTTACCTTGTTCAGTAGGTTGGCCAATAGCAAGGCTGCTGAAAGCTCGAGACGCGGCAATGAGATCGCCTTAAGGGGAGCAACGCGAGACTTTGAACACAATAATTCAGTGTTGTAGGTGCCGTCTTGAGACCTCGTGCGGATATAAATGCATGCTCCGTAAGCCAATTGGCTCGCGTCGCAGAAACCGTGGACTTGCATTGGCTGTGAATTCGCATTGAGCTTGACATGGCGCGGAATGGCGAGTTTATTGATATCAACTAGGCGCGACTTGAGGTTCGTCCAACGTATGTGAAGCTCTTGCGGAACTGATTCGTCCCAGTGAGATCCCAAGTGCCAGAGCTCCTGGAGGATCAGTTTTGCCGAAACGATGACCGGTCCCCAGAACCCGAGAGGATCGAAGAGTTTAGATACTTCGGAAAGTATGACGCGTTTGGAGATTGTTGAACGGTCGGCGTCGGGCTTATAGGAAAAGTGTAATGTGTCTTGGAGTTGGTCCCAATGGACGCCTAATATGGACGATTCCGTGCCCTTGTTAATAGTAACAGGGACATGGGTTTGTTTCTCGACATCCGTTAGTAAGTCCGAACAATTGGAAGCCCACTTACTGAGTTCGAAGGCGCCCGCACGTAGCACTTCGATTGTCTGGTCGCGAATTGCTAGGGCCTCTTCCACGGTGTCGGCGCCAGTGAGCATATCGTCGACATAAAAGTCTCGCTCCACACACGCGGAACCGGCGGGAAATTCGTCCGCGTAATGATCAGCCAGCCATTTGAGGCATCTGGTTGCTAGGTACGACGCCGACGACGTGCCGTAAGTTAATGTGACTAGCTCGTAAGCCTTGACGTCGGAGGCGGGATCGTCCCGCCAAAGAATGCGTTGATAATGTGTTTGTGAGGGATAAATCAACACTTGCCTGTACATCTTGATGATGTCAGCGGTGAGAACGAAGCGAAATGTGCGAAATCGTACTAAAATTGAAAATAAGTCCTGTTGGACGGTTGGTCCAACCATGAGCACATCGTTTAAGGAAGTACCGGTTGAGCCTTTGGCCGACGCGTCGAAGACTACACGAATCTTATCGCGACCCTGATTAGACTTGAACACGCAATGGTGCGGGAGATAAAAGGATTCTGAATTATTATCGGACTGCTCGTCAATTGCCTTCATGTGGCCTAGGGCCAAGTATTCGTTCATGAACTCCGAGTACTGAGTTCTTAAATTGGGATTGAGTTTGAATCGTTTTTCGATACCGTACAATCGTTTTAAGGCGGCTCCTCTTGAATCGCCGAGGGTGATAGAGGCGAGCTCCTTGAACGGAAGCTTCACGATTAATCTGCCCTGCGGGTCTCGGGACAGATTCTGCAAGAAATGTTGCTCACAAAGGTGCTCTTCGACACTGTGATCGTCCGAGGTCTGAGTTATGTCCTCAATTTGCCAAAATTGTGATAATTGTTGTTGTAATTGCGCGTTAGAAATTGAAGCGTGAAAAGACTGCACGCCTTGTCTGGAAGTCGATGAATTATCGAGTCGCCCGGCTAGAATCCACCCGAAACGCGTTTTCTGAAGGATGGGTTGAGTCGGCGAAGATTTGATTTGCCCTACGCAGAGCAAGCGCCAAAATTGCTCCGCGCCAATTAAAAGATCGATTTCTGACGCGACGTTGAACTGCGGATCAGCCAACTTGATATTTTGTGGAATTTCAAAGGCACTCCTTTTGATAGTAAAGGCCGGAAGCTTATCAGTTACATGATCAGTGACAATGCAATCCAATAAAATATTGAAGGAATTTATGCGCGACTGTAAATGAACTTCGACTGCTCGCAATGATCTTGTAGTTGTCTTGTTGATTCCCGAAATGGAGACTTCCGAGGCACGAGTTCTAAGACCGAGCGTGTCCAGGAAGCGTTGCGAAATGAAATTGGCTTGTGAGCCACTATCCAAAAGTACGCGACAGGATTTAAGAGCGCCCTTGCTGTCGTGTGCGGACACAACAGCAGTGGATAACATAACGCAGTTGTGAACAGGCGAGTTCGCGCTGTGTGTGACAAGGGCCGTAGGAGAACTCGCCGGAGGTGCCCCTCCCTTGTCATCCACGGGTGATTCGCGCGGATTTGAAGTATCGGACTTCGTTGAAATGGCGGCGGTAAGGTGAAGCAATGAATTATGCTTGGAATTGCAAATTTTACAACTGCCTGATGGGCATTTGTTCGAGGCATGATCAGTGGATCGCAGGCAATTCGTACAGAGTTTACGTTTTCGGATTTCCGAAATTCTTTGCCGAACCGGCAATGCTAAGAATTTTTGACAATGATATATGAAGTGTTCGCCTTTGCAAAACACGCACTTAGCCTTCACCGTCGCGAGACATGACTGGCGCCTCGCATTATGCTGTGCTTGTGCCGGCACAGCTGGCTTACCGTTGGCCTCGAGAGTTTGACATCGATGAGTGATAAAATCAATGAATTGTTTTAGCGTAGGCAGCTGCGAGCTCGTCAGCGACAACTGCCATTCGCGAGAAGTGAGCGCGTCTAGTTTGCTAGTCAAAATTTGAACTAATAAATCGTCCCATTGCGCTGTGGGGCGCTTTAAAGCCTTGAGGGCTTGAACGTGTCGGGTAGTACCGTCTGCGATTTGACGAAGCTCGACGACGTTTTCCTTACTCATGGACGGCAGATCCATGATCGCCTTTATGTGGCTTTGAACGATGACGCGTTTATTATCGTAACGCTCTTTCAGCAGGTTCCACGCGACGTCGTAATTCGTGCCAGAAATTTCCAACGCGGTGATTATTTTTGCCGCGTCGCCGACGACGGAGGCCTTCAAGTATTGCAACCTTTGAATATTATCTAACGACGGGTTGGCATGTATGAGAGACTGAAAGCTATCAAAAAACGGGAACCACTCGTCGTATTTACCGGAAAATTTCGGAAGATCCAACCTAGGGAGTTTGATATGATTGTACTGATTGACGACGCCGGAAATTGAGGGTGACGGCGAGGGAGAGGCGGTGGCGCGCATTTGACTGGCGCTAGAGAGTAATTCGCGTAATTTAGCGGATGTAAAATAAAATGCTTCCTCGAAAGTGACGCGATGATTCGCCTCTGCCTCGTCGCACAATTCCAGCTTCGTTTGCACTTCGTCGTAACTTGACCAATAACCGTCTAACTTAGCTCGGCGTTCTTCAAGTTGAGCCGCAATGGGCGGCGTGACCGATTCGATTGAGTCTGCGAACGTTCGAACACGAGTGCAAGAACCGATGATTATCGCGCGGCGGCGCTTTAACGCAACCACCTCGTCATTGTTAGCCATGGCGAAAGCGACGAAATTGACTGAGCGAGGGAAGCAATAAAATAATCAGTCGGCACTGACCTTGAAGTAGCTGACCTTACCTTACAAGCAATTCGCACGCGCACGGAAATGAAAAGAGCGTGGCCTCGGCTGCGTAAAGATGGCCGGTCCTGATGGCGCGTAGCGGCAGCGTTGCAGGAACTCGCTTGATGTGGCCGTGTCCTGGGCTCGCAGCTACTTGCCAGTGATGGAAATGCGTCAGATGTTTGCAGGATCCCCTTGTGAGTCGCGAGGAACAGCTCCTCGAAGAAGACTGGAAATGTCTGGTTCAGTCCCTTGCTGTCGCGAGATTTGTGACTCGCTACAGCCAACCTCCTCGAATGTTCGACCGCAGTGGCACTGACACCAAAACGTTGTTGCTGTAATCCGGCTCGAAGGACCAAATTGTTTGTGTCGCCAATGTAGCGTTGAGCCAATGTGGCGCTCGTGGCTCGTGCCTTCCACGGAAACCCCGGAATGTGCAACTCGGGACCGTGGCCGAGGGGCATGTGCCCTTCTTATTTGTTCTCTTTCGCCGCTGCGGTGCCGTACAGTCGACGGCGTGTCTCGGGAGGTGTCTTCGCCAAGGAAAAGTCACTCGTGTAGTTTTTAACCACTTTTATTGATGTAAATTAGGAAGCACGAGGGAACAACGTGCGTTGTTGGCGGAACAGCAAAGATGTCTGATGTTAGCGTTGTCGCGCATGCGCGATCCGAGCGTCCCTGTGGCTGCAGAACCGATCAGGGGAAATCCAAAAAAAGGAGGTTGCGGGGCGCGGGGAGGTAACGAAATTGCCGCGAGCACAGAGAGATGGCCACAGCGTCGTGGATGTTAATAAACGCGCCGAGATCAAGTCCAGGAATACTTAACAATATATATAAAAATATTGTATACTCTTCATTATAAATATGTATTACACATATTATATCTACATATTACACATATTACACACATTATATAATACATACTACACACAGTATACTTATTATAAATCTTATTCATATTATACATATTACACATAATATATACATATTATATTATTATACATTTATAAGTATTAAACATATTATATAATACAATTGTGTTTTATTTACATCGGTAATGCCCCCATGGCAGCGTGTCGGTGGAACCTGATACGATATACCGCTTATCATCGTGCGGACTTAGAGCGATTTTTGTTTCCGATCATATACACTTCGTGCAGTTTGGATCTTATGCACTACTGTCTGCGCGTCATTTCGATTGCATCGTTCAAGCAGCATGTGTAATCCTCAAACGTTATGGATTTTACAACGCTGCTCTTGACACCCTTTGCCTTTTTCGCGTCTTTATTTCCTTGTACACGTAAAGCGTACATTTTCGCTGTAAGCCCTACGAATTCAGTCATAATGGCGCCGTTGTTCTCATCTTTCATAAGACCTGGAACATTTTTATTTGCGAGCGGAATACTGTACGCGTTGTCAACTGCGTAATCACTCGTGTC